GGGAAAATAATAGAGCTACAAGTTAAGATATGAAGAAAACACTGCAGAGCAAAGAAGGCAGTTATGATCTGTTACATGATTAGTTGTGCTTAAGATGGTGTTGAGGGGAGATGGGAGAATATGCAACTTTTTCAAGTGTTAAAAAATAAAATAATTTTCTCCTGATTTTAATTTTAAACAGCTGTGATACTTTTCAGAATTAACAAAGGTGTAAAGTATGTCATTGACAGTTGCAAAACTTCACACAGTAAACAATTTAAAGTGTTAGGTGAATAAATAATTTCCTGATTTCTAGACAAACATTGACCAATAGAAGGGTCTGTGATGTTCCAAATGTTCTATCCCAAATGTTCTATCCCTGCGCTATCCAGTAGAGTAGCTATTAGACACATTTGACCATTGAGCAACTTGAAATGGCTTGTGCAACTGAGGTACTTTCTTACTTTATTTAATTTTAATTAATAAAAATGTAAAACTAAATAACCCCTTACATCTAGAAGGTACCATACTGAACAGTGTAATTATAGACCAGTGGTTTCATAAATAATGCTGATGTTTTTATAACTGATACTAACAAAAATAATTTAGATCATAAAATGTTTTAATTGGCTCTGGGATCTTTTATTAAATACAAAAAAAGACCCTGAGGAAATATACATTTTAGACAATTCCACATGAAAATAGATTTTGCAAGCTAAATATAAATGAAATAAATTTAAGTTTTCTTAATATTAAAATGTGTACTTCCTCATTTCAGAAATAATTTTAGCAGTGCTTCACACTGAGAGATAGGGCTCTAAAGTAGGAGAAAAGTTGAGAATATCAAAATCCGAAACTTTGTTTTTAATATTCTACAAGTTTTACACTTTCCCCCACAGCGCAATAAAAAATATTGATGGTATTATGTGAACATATAAGTATAGGAAAATAATTGAGAATCAAATATTTAAAATAAGTTTAAAACATATTTGTAATACATAGATTTAATCAACAATATGAGAAAATAAATAGTTATCTATAGTTAAAATATTCTGAACCAAATGTTCAATTAGTTCCCTATGGCAAGGTCATAAGTATTTATTTCCCTACTATTTATATTAAAAAAATTTTTTTAATCTATTTAAGAATTACTGAAAATGACAGTTTTAGGTTAAGATCTAAATATGGATCATAGACTCTCTCCTGCCTTACCACACAAAAAATAATTTTAAATACTTCATAAAAACAAAAAAGGTCAGGATTCAAAGTCCACCATTCAGTGTAGTTCCAAACTTCATACTCACATCCACAAATCTACAAATTAGGATAATTTTATTCATTACAACTATTATTCTCAAATTAAATCAGCTATTTCAGAATGCAACACTGAATTGGGGATATAATCCAAAACCTAATAGCGCAACACCTCTTGAATTAGGACTAAAATACTCACTGAACCAATGATGTGAATGTAGGAATCTGGCATTTCATGAAATTTCACAAGAAAAAGATTGCATTTAACTTTGCTAAGCTCACATAATCTGAAGGTACAGAAAAATGGGTGAATATCAAAATAATCAGCCATCCAACTACAACTAGAAGGAAAAAAAACCTCAATTTGGAAGAAAACATAACCCCAAAACAGAAGGAAAATCCTCCACTGAAGATTTATAGAAGAGTTGAAGAAGAACATGAACTCAACAAAATAAAATTACAAACAGAAAATGATAAAACATGAGTATAAGAAAAAGGATAACTATATAATTAAAACATTATTACCTAGCAAAGTAGCTGCGAGGAATAGGTTTGCAACAGTCACACTTAAGTTAGAGAAAAGAGATTAAAACTTTGTAGATGTTTTATTTAGAGAAATTAAATAAATTTAAGTAGATAGTGGCTACTATATTGGACAGTGCAGGTAGAGAACATCTCTAACATAACAGAAAGTTCTGTGGGTCAGTGCTGGTCTAGAAGTCTGAAAAACATATTATTCACCTTAACACTTTAAATTGTTTACTGTGTGAAGTTTTATAACTATCAATGATATAACTAACATTTATCATCTTAACAAGGATATATTCTGTTTTAGTATGGAGCAGAAAAATAATTTTAAATGGTGAGATACAAAAGAAAATTTTTTACTTGAAATTAAGAAAAAATAATCTTTGGCTCAAAAAGCATCCACGGTTATGAGGTGGAGAGGATTGAATAATACAAAAGATTGGGTACAGATACAGCCCATTGAAGTTGTTGGAGGAAGAATTATTCAAGCATTCAGGCAGAAAAAGTAAGTCATCTACAAGTTTTGAAGCTTTCAGCCTTCTCTAAGGCAACATTCTTTTTCCAAATATAGTAGAGTATGCTCTACCTGGTTCTAGTGAATGGAAGTGTTATGAAATAAACCAAATGTTGATCCTGTATTTTTTTTAAAAAGGCAACTATTTTTAAACATGAAAGAACACCATGACCAATTATTAAAAAAATAATTAAACATATGAAAGTCTGATGATTAAGTTTGTAACTCATCCTAGAAAAAGCACTGTATACCTCATCGTTGAAACATTGCTAGAGTCACCTTCAAAGTACTCCCCTTGAGAAGCTATGTACGAACACCAGCACCTAGTTCACTCTTCAAAGCAATTTTGGAGCTCTTTCTGGAATGACCGTCAGAGCTGTCATCGTATGAAGGTCTAACAATTAGGTTCACAACTTGACACCACACATTTCTGTTGGCAGCATTGTATAAAGAACTCATGAAGGTTTCATAACGTTGGCCTATCAGTATCTCACAGCTGTGTTCTGTGTTGATGTTTGGTGGTATCTTGCTGTCATTATTGTCATTACATGTTTTGTATGCCACAGGATGACAGTTCTGATGATCCTCTCAAAAAAAGAGTTTCAGGGCAGCACCTGTGGCTCAAAGGGGTAGGGCACTAGCCCCACATGCTGGAGGTGGTGGGTTCAAACCCAGTCTCGGCCAAAACTGAAAAAATAAAATAAAATAATAGAAACTGTTTTTTAAAAAAAGAAAAAGCGTTTCAAAATTACTTGAAGGGTAGACGAGGCATTGGCATTGGCACATAGCTTCCCCAGGGGAGTACTTTGAAGGTGACCATAGTGATATTCAGCAATGAGATATGTAGCACTTTTTCTAGGATGAGTTCACAAACTTAATTGTCAAGCTTCAGTGTAAGGGCTTGACACCCTAAAGCAATACATTGTTTCTTTGTGCTTCTTTCTTCAAACTTCACATCACTACTCTTCTAGAATGAAACTCCATGAAAGCAGGGGCTGTGTTTACTTTGTTCACTGCCCTTCATGGGGTTACCTCCTAGAAGGGCAAACTCTGTCGCACGACTGCTGTCACTGTGAGCATGATTTTTCGTTCAACATTATTTTCTATATCTATCCGTGTCACTTCATATCAATCTTATTTATTCTTTTGAATATATCATTTTATCTTATGCTTATATAACAGTTTGTTAATCTATTCCCTATAGATAGATAATTAAGTTATTTATGATATTATTAAAATGTTTAATAATAACTCTGTGTCTCTTGGTGCATGTGTGTGAGATTTTCTCATGGGGACTAGTTGGTAGTCCACATGTTGTACACATTTCTAGCTGAAATTTTTCCAAATTGTTCTCCAAATTCATTTTGTAACAGTGAACTGTCAACTTCCTATCGACAGTGCATGAGACTTTTAGTTTCTCTGCTCTTTTCACAATCTTGGTATTTTTAGATGTTTTATTTGTTTGTTTGCCTGTATGATGGGTGGGAAATGGTAATTGGTTTTAAAGTACGTTTCCATAGTTGCTAATTCTTCTTTGCACTTCTCTGAATTATTAAAAATAATTTCTTAAATCATTTTCTTAAATAACATTTTAGAATATGTCTGCTGGAAAATGTCTTATATTTTTCAAGATTATGAAATGAACTACAAGTTAAACATTTTTTTTTTTTTTGAGACAGAGTCTCACTATGTTGCCCTGGGTAGAGTGCTGTGGCATCACAGTTCACAGCAACCTCAAACTCTTGGCCTTAAGTGATTCTCTTGCCTCAGCCTCCCAAGTAGCTGGGACTACAGGCACCCACCACAATAGGTGACTAAAGTATATAATAGCTAATAATATATTTCTATAGCTATAATATATTTCCAACTGATTGACATAATTCTAAGCTTAAGTAAATTAGGCCTTGAGAAGTAAAAGTGGTAACTTGACTAATTTATAACCTAGCACAGGATTATATTGACTGATCCAGTGTCCCACATTATTATATTATCTTTATGATGCTGGCTAATAAAAAAAAATTGAGGCATGTGCTTTTTTTCTTCAAGAAATTAAGTAGTTTTTTTAAAAGTTATTTTTATAGTACCTCTTTACAAAAATCTTTCTATGATTTTTGTAGTCACTGAGGTCACCTTCTAAAATTAATAATTTGAAATTCAATGTTCATTTAATCAGAGATTTAAAATTCTATATTCATTGTTAAAGAAGAGGCATAAACTTGCAGGTGCTAACTCACATTTCATTGGGTAAAAAAAATTATCTACTCTTAATTGTTCCTTTACTCATTGTTTTAGTGAATGAGTTTTTTGACTTCTAGAATTATAAACCAGTAAACAGATTGCGCACATGCTTTATTTTTACCTGTGGCATAAATAACAGTAATTACATGTAATGCATAAGTGCTAATTCCGGACTTTGCTTTAAGTGTGTAAATTTTTTTTTAAATGAGCATAGCCTCTTCTTGGAATAACAATTGATTTTTTGAGTATTTGAACATTTTCTTTAAATTCTAGTTCATGCTAAAGAATTAAAGTTCACATTATATTATATTCTCATTAATATTATATTCTTTTTCTCTGTTTTAGAAATATCTATATTGTTATGAGTTTATTACTAAATCAATTTTAAGGCCTCAATTTGGAAAGTTCTAGTGTTGCTAACCTTATGATTTAAGAAAATTGTCATATTTTTACCACAGATACTCAATATGTCATTCTGTTTTCTTAGGAACTTCCAGCACCATTACTTGATGACAGTCGTAAACAGGAACTCGATGAAGATATATATAATCATAAAACACCAGAATCTAATAGTAAGATGAAAATAGCTTGGCGTTACCAGTTATTACCCAAGATGGAGGCAAGTGAACATACAAACTATTTCTGACGTTTGTAAATGTATTTGTTTTCATTTTATAGACTCTCTTATGAAGTATCTATTCTTTAATTGTAATATGTGTATTTGTTTATTTAAATAACTAGTCATTTCATTTGTAGAGTATTTGATCAAAAATACAGATGAAAAATGCCAGCCAAATTAGGTGAACTAATGGAGCCATTTCTATTCATATGATTACCTATATTCAGTGGTTCTTTGAAATTACTATATTTTATTCCTCAATATTTTCAGTTATTCCATTTTCAATCTCATCTATTTGGTAACCTCGCCTATCCAGAATAGAGACAGGAAGTGAAGGGAAAATTTCTGAGAAGTCCAAACAGATACCACTAACTCTGTCCACTAGAGCTCAGGAGCTCTGCTCCTAGTGAAGGCTCTGTTCACTGATTGGCACCATTATGTGATTGTTCACTGCATTCACTTTTCAGAACACATTTTTTAATGTCTATGAGACATTACCGTACTGGTAGAAAAGAGAAAAATTCTAATCTGAATAGACCCAGTTTCCATAGTTTCTCTAGTCTCCTACAGTGCTGTCAGTGTTATGCTTCCCAAGAACAAAAATATGTTTGTGATATTCTTGAACTTCAGGTGCTTCATTTGGTTTCCTGTTTTCACTGCTCCTTTCAAAATGCATGGTGGACTATCAGTCATAGTACCCTCCTGCCAAACTGAGACGCAGTCTTAGAATTCTCCTCTGCAGAATTTCTGAGTGGTCAATACCAGTTAATAAAAGTATGTAAGATGAAATCTGTTTGCTACAATAAGCCTACCATGTGAAATGCAAACTTCTTAAGATTGAGTATAAAATTATACTTGCTAATCTAAGCTTACTTTTTTTTAACTATATTCATCCATCCTATGAGAATCCTTTATGTGAATTACTTGTCCTTCTGCTGGTAATGATGCTTTTCACTTCCTTACTCATCAACCCACTCTTCTCCAAAGGCAGATGTTACTACTTTTCCATACATAATGATCTACTTTATTTTTTTTTCACAGCACTGCATATATGAGTACTATTTTGAGTACTACTTCCACATCATTGTATAGTTAATTGGTAGTGTAAACTCTCTTCACCACACTGAGAATTCTTTGTGAGTGCTGAGGACTTATTTTCTCTTCTATCTCCAGCACCTATATTAATGCCCAGATGATCAATGATCAATAAACATTTAGTGATTAAGAACTGAGTATAAGAGACCAGAATAAATGGAGATCATCTGTTGAGGAAAATACAATTTAAGGGATAGAGATGTTAAGGGATAGAGATGAAAACCGACAAGGGATGTGGAACTCAGATTTGAGCACCCTAAAGGCACGGAACTTCATGTCTTTGATCTGGCAGATTCATTCAAGTGACTGGGTTTAGTGGTGACTTTTTTGTGAAGAGTAACTGTATTTTTGGGGGGGGGGGATTTGTATATGTATTTTGGATTAATGTAAGGGTACATACAATTAGGTTACATTGTTTGTGTTTGTTAGGAAAAGTTGGAGTTGTATTTGAATCCTTCACGTAGGTGTGTCAAATATCCCTACATTGTACTTGTTAGATGGAAGCTTACTGAACCCGTATATTTTAATTTTTCTGCTGCTGTGTTCAAAAGGAGTTAGTTAAGAATATAAATTCTAAGTTAAATTTAGCCTTTTTGTAGAGACAGTATACTAATTCTGTTTTATTATGTACAGAACTCATTTCTCCCATTTATTTTTTATTGTCAGCTTGATTTTGGTCTTTTCATTGATCATTAAACATCCTTCAGGTGCAAGTTAGTGAACATCTAACAGAAACTTGAAGTCTTCTCCCTTACTGCTTGTTATGAAATTTGTTTAGAGTTGGGGATAAAAGTATTTGTTTCATTAAAAATGCATATTTTGGCTCGGCGCCTATAGCTCAACCGGCTAAGGCGCCAGCCACGTACACCTAAGGTGGCGGGTTCGAATCCCCAGCCCGGAC